GCCCTTGAGATTAGCCCATTGATCCCAACAACACATGTTTCCTACTGGCACAAAGCCCTGGGCTTCTTTAGTACATGTGAGCATATGACGCTGTATATATCATAACATGGAGAAAATGTAGATGAGGTTTTATGTATTTGACTCGCGATAGTATTCCTTACATAGCTTTCTGTAACATGAAAAACATAAGGGTATGTACAGCTATAATCGTAACCAAAAATACTTTTTTGTGTGAACGTATTTAGTTGTTTGCGGTCGAAGGTAACGTTGTTTATTTCATCTGGACAGAGGTCAAACATGTAATTTATGGACAGTGGTCATAACTTGAGTTTATTTATTGGTATAGATCGGTTTGGAATTAATGAGTACTGGTGTGGTTGTTGCTGAAGTCCATTCTTAAGTTTACCATGCGTACTTAGGACAATAGTGCATTGTACATCAGCGTGTGACCACATTATTTGTACGTGACCGCTTGTGGAAGTCTGGGATTTTATAGCACATTAGCAAATTTCACAAAGGGCAAAGCACGTATTCATTCTAAAATCACCTCCACACTATTCGCAGGATTCGTTATTGATTCATGTTATGGAAATGCTTTCTTACGAATAGTGATATAGTATCCTTTAATCCAGTTCAATACTTTATTCGACAAGTTTGCGTGGTGACCTTTGGTATCATTCATATCAAATACATGCTATTGTATTTTAACATAAATCGGTGTGTCACAAAATACATGTTGCATTTTGACAAAAGCAAAATGAGGTACATGTATTTGGATATATTTTTTCATATGATATACCCTGTTTGATTTAAACGAGTGATTCAGATCAACATGGAACACCTTTAATGAATGGGCGGGACTGAAAGCTATTTTACCATGATTTTCCCTTTAACACATGTTTAGAGGCCGACAATTTGACAAATTGTCACCGCAAATACTTGAATAATAATAAAGAAGCTTCAAAAAATGCCTGCCACAAAAATTACATTGTTGCAAGGAGTAAAGAGAAAATTCAGGCTCACATCAAATGGTCGGCCCTTATAGCCAACATTTTAGTATTTTGACTTTCTTTCGCGAATGCTTTACAGGGATCCATACCTATAATTTTCCACTATTTTGCCCTTTACGACCTTTTCCATGGAAATTGTTTCGGTGGATAATCGAGACTGGTTATTCTCTGGCCTTGACTTTGTATATTTACATACTAGTATGCATTTGTAACATAGTGTCTGAAATGTAATGTAATTTTCTATCGTAAATTGGAACGTTTTGTACGTCAAGCAATCCTAATTACTTTTAAAACCTTCTCCAAAGAAAACATATCACATTGCATAATCGTGTAATATGTAACTATAGGTTAAAACAACTTACATTTAAGATTTGACAAGTTATGCTTCACTAAAGGACAAGTCTTTTCAGTCATATATTATCAATATTTTCGCTTTGAATGTCATTTAGAACTTCGTTGAACATGGAGACATAGAACTTTATTGATTGCAACTTCTTTGTGTTTGTTGGGAATGTCTGCTCGGATTGACAAAATCAAAACAAGGGAATTTGAAAGATGTTTCGGGCATATCAATGACCTGATACCATTCAATAATAGCCAAATAGCAAATTCACTTCCACTCCCACCTGAGCTAGACATACAATAGACCAGTGAAACAACCTCGTCTGTTTCATATTTAGATCTATGTACAAAGATTCCGAGTGACAAAAGATATTCATAAGACTGTATGACAAGGGGTGAGACCCGTGGATATTCCGGGGCAGAATAGGTCTTCAGCAAACCATGCTTGCCGTAAAAGGTGACTATGCTTGTCGTAAAAGGCGACTAACGGTATCGGGTGGTCAGGCTCGCTGACTTGGTTGATGCATGTCATCGATCCCAATTGCGTAGATCGATGCTCATGATATTAATCACTGGATTGTCTGGTCCAGACTCGATTATTTACAGACCGCCGTCATATAGCTGGAATATTGCTGAGTGCGGCGTTAAACAACAAACCAACCAACTAACAAGGGATGACTTCAACTTTCCCTTTATGTGGAGCAATATGCCAGTGGCTCCAGCCTTTGGTGTTTACATTTTAACAACTTTTGAGGTACATATTCACTTGATGTTTGCAACATAATTTGATGTACCATAAACGCCGCATCTTCTTAATTGTATACATAAATATGCCTTCATCTGTACCATGATGTGGATTATGCCTTCATCTGTACCATGATGTGGATTATGCCTTAGGCCTCCTCTGTACCATATCCTTTTGAGAAGTACCTGTATTCATAAAGCTGTATTGCTTTCCGAGTGCTTATGTATCCTGTGTATATGACTGAATAAAAAAAAAATTTTAAAAACAAAAAACTTTTGAGGTACAATCAAGCAAACTCTTCCTACAAAGAATTCAAAGAGCGTCATACCACTTTTGTTCAAAAGTTGTTTGATCAAGGTTACACCATTCCAGGTAATAGTAAAACTTCCAAATATTTAGGGTAGACAAGTAGAGGACATTTCCAAATTAGACACAAAATGATGTCTGATGCAATTCCCTCTTTTGACTCGTACCATATGTTCCCATGTTGTTGTTGTTGTTGTTGTTTCAGGTAAACAATTGGCTGCCTTTTTCATGTGTTTGACATTCGGATATGAAACGAGATACCAAATTCTTGCGTGGGTTTATGGAGAATATTGGGTCGAACAACAATGCATGGTGATGTTTGTGTGTGGGAGGTCGCGAGGTGACGAGTCATTGTATAGACACTTTGCTGAAGTACATTTGATGTAGTAAATCGGATTAGAGCTACTAATCTTCGACAGCTTGCCGAACATCGATCCCGGTGTTATACTGTTCTGGCAATGTTTCTTTGTCATATGCGCTATCGTATCACTGCATTGTCTGGTCCATCACTTGATTGTCTGGTGAAGACTCGATTGTTTACAGACCGCCGTCGTGTGGCAGGGGTACAGCTGTGTTGGGTCGGGCAACAAACAACACGTATTATCATGCAGCGTGTTTGAGTGGTAGGTGCTACTGGTAGGGCAGGACATGCTTGCCATTTTCGCGAACACCTGGTGTCATCACTGATTTTCAGTGATCAATCCATAGTATTTCAACCACTTTGTTGCCTTATGCGCCAAATGGAACAGTTTCGGCAGATAATCGAGACTGTTTTTTTCAGGGCCATACCGATTTAAACAGCCCGAACTAGAAATATAGGAGACCAGTGAGACCGCTTCATCTGTTGCATATTTAGATATATGCGTAAAGATTCAGCGTGACAAAACACTCTCCACATGACTGTATGACAAGAGGGATGACTTCAACTTTCCAACAGTCAACTTTCCCTTTAAGTCGAGCAATATTCCTACAGTTCCAGCCCTTGGTGTCTACATTACACACGTTTGAGGTAAAATCGAGCATGCCCTTTCTACCAACATGTCCAAAAGCGTAATACGACTCTTGTTCAGAAGTTGTTTGATCAAGGTTACAACATTCAAAGCGTCAGCAAAGCTTTCAAAATGTTTAATGGTAGACATGTGGAGGACATTTCCAAATTTGACACATCGCTGACAAAATGATGTCCGAAGCAATCCCCTTTTTTCACGTGTGCCATATATTTATTTTTCAGGTGACAAATTGGCTTGCCTTTGCATGTGTTTGTGACCTGTGGGACAGGATACGTTCACCTTTTCGCGAACACCTAGCATTATCACTATTTCATAGTGATTCCTAAACACATGCTCATGATGCAGTCGGAATCGTACAGTTGACTCAGTTTTTGTCAGATATTTCTTATGAATATGGAAAGGATTTTGTCGAAATTAAGTGATGAGGGCATAGATGTTCGGGTAAGCTCTCTGTGCGGTCTTGTTGAGGTCGACAACAAGCACAAAACTACCTGTATCATTTTTCTAAAGAGCAGGACAAGAATAGAGGTGCCGTCCATGTACAATGTGTCCTTCTGTTGAAGTAAACGCAAGCACAAGAACCTATCTGCGTCCCCATCATTGGCGCACAGGAAGCCGGGGAGTTCCATCGGTTGTCTGCTGCCAGGGTCCAGTACCTCGGCTAAGGACTGTAGGAGCACTGGATTAAAATCACATGTAGTTACATGAAGTAAGAGTGTGAGATAATCTCAAGTTGAAACCACATGCATACCGTCACATGTTGGAAACGACTCAAGACAATCTCAAGTTAAAGCCATATTTGGTCACATGTTGTAAGCGACTCAGATAATCTCAAGTTAAAAGTTAGAATGGTTCGGCAACATGGACACTGACAGTGGGCAAGTCCATATTTATACATGAGGGAGCAATTTCAATAGTGTATGCTTTTTGCCATACAAACTTAATTGTTTGTAGGTGTTAGGGAACGGTAATTTATTATAGGGGTGGGGGTGAGTGAGGGGAGGGTCATCCAATATACTACTAGTATTACACAGTCTTTTGGGGGAGGGTCATAAAAAATAAGTCACATATTTGGGGAGGGTCGTTATTTTCTGTACATTAGTGCATCAAGAAGCTACGGGTACATTAAAATCATGACCACGAAAATGATTTTTTGTCATATTTATGATATACATAAACATTAGCAAACTTTGTGAAAATAACACTGAAATGCATTTGTTAAGAAATAAAACGTATCCAGTATGAAAAGCAATATGGATATTTAATCTTCATTACTATTCCATATCTTTAATTTGACGAGTATTTTTGTCAAGAAATAATATCAGATAGAGAAGAACAATGCTCTACTCTGTCAGATAGGTCTGAAGGCTCTACCTACCTGTAGGGTACTGTTAGATTGGTATAAACAGAGACCATATATCGGTATATGGTCTCTGGTATAAATCATATCATCTGAGTTATAAAATCAGAGTGTCGTTTGAACGACTTTAAAAAAAAACTTGCTAGGACTACAAATGTAACTGAATTAATGTCCCATTTGACTCAAAGCTGTGAGATCGTTTTGTTTCGTTTTAAATCGTTTTACGTCTTTTCGAAGTACCCTGAAAGATGGCTGCCCCCATGGATGTAAGCATGGAAAAAATATTTGCTAATGTGGTACTTGACTGTAGACATTATTTAGCTACAGGAACCTAGAGCTAATGTCTTGCCTAAAGTATCAGTTAACATATCGGACAGTTGTCGACATACAAATGTTCGGTGTTATCTCAATTACTTTTTGTCTTGTCATATTTTACACACGTCACCTGTTTTCGTGACAATTTAAGAGAGTGCAAGTATATCTTCAGTCGCATAGGCTTTAGCACGATAACCAAATCTTCACCCACGAGATGTTTCGGTGGCTACTGCACTTACCGGCTGCTCTTTTCAAAAAGTAAACGGTTCTTTTTGCCAACAAGGCATGAATGGCTGAGATTCGAGCATTATGAAGAGGATGTAAAGAAATCCCAGGCCTAATAAGATAGTACGCTCGTGAACTGATTACCTCGTTCACACACAAATGTCTTGACACGTTCCCAATTTTTGTCGGCCCAGTGATAAAGTGACTGACCCTTACTCAAATTGTTTGACCCAATACCCTTGCACAACAATAATCAAATAGTCTCCGCGTTTACATGGCTTACATGTACCATGTGTACACCGATATATCCGAGACATTCTGAACATGCTGAAGTGTACTTATCATTAAATATATTTTTAGACATAGATCTACAGTATTTTTATATGTTTGAATTGCCACCAACGACTAGTTAGTATCAGTTAAACAAATTTAATTTTAATTAATTTAATTATTTTAATTTTAAACCTGTTAAATGTAAAAAAAAAGAAAGATTTTCTTGAACAGTTTCATTTTGTGAACATGTACTCATGTGACCAGTTGACTACAGCTCTGGTAAGGAAATAGGAAGTGTTCAACATGTTCAAAGGCTATCGGTGAACCAATTAGTGTGCACCCAGATAACTTGATAAGCAGCAGTCTACCTTATTTTTGTCACTGTGTGTATCATGTTGTATTGTCAAAGACAAATCCCAGCCAAATCTATTGAACATGTTGCAGATAATCATGTCTCTGTCAACATGGTCAGTTAGTCTAAAAATGAACATGATATATCTCAATAATCACTACATGTATAACAATTTTTTTGTTTGCATACATTGTATAGCATGGTAAGCTAGTTCAATGTGATTGGATGCTCTCATTAATACATGTAAGAGGAGACAGCTTCTACATTTCACACAGACTCCCTCAATTGCTTGCATCACTATTTCAGTTGGAGCTGTTGACGTCATCGGACGCAGAGACGACATTGATTGCAGGAAGCCTGGTAGATATTGGCTGCTGTCCTCGATGTGTTCTGCGATATCTTGGGGAGAAGAGGCCATGGGTGTACAAAGCAAATCAAGAGGTGAGTTTATATATAGCAAAGTGAAAAAACTGGAGAGTGTGCTCCAAAAGATTATTACATAGCATTCTAAACCTGGAAATCTTCCTGACTTTTTACTGCTTAGGAAAACTTTTCATGATAAGTATTGCGTCCCAAACTGAAAAACAGGACATTTGACATTGAAACATCAATATGATATCCATTTATTCGGGGCATGTTAAGAGCAGCACAAGGCCCAAATAGCATGCGCCAGTGTGGTTTGCGACCGTTGTTTATGTTTAGCGGCAGACTGCCTAGGTAGTGGGAGAGTTACCTCCCTTGGCTTGTGTCGTTTTCTCCTCACATGTTGTTTGGCCATTACTGAGAAGTAAAGCTACAAGTATATTGGAATACCTGTGTTGGGTTGTGAATTGCGAGGGTCCAAGCTGGCGTGGTGGCAGCGGAGACGATCATCCGCATCTCTGAACACGGCACTTAACCTGACTTTCGCAGTTACTACACGAATAAGTGTGCAATCTACCTGGTCTACATCGCCACGATAGCGCGGGTATTTCAAGTAGGCCTACTAGCATAACATCATGGCAAACACTCACAGAGCACCGAAACAGTGGTCTCTCACGAAACATGAAACTGTTAATTCGTTTGAGAATTGGAAACAAAACCTACTATATACGTTATCACTGGACACGAATTTTGCAACATTTCTTGCTGACGGCGCCACATGGGGAAAACGTACACGTGCAACCCCGTTACGAGGATTTGAAAATGATGGGGAAGACGTTGCTGGAGCTCAACGCAAGACGGCAGCGCAAAAGGTAACATCACTCGAGTTAATGTTGGGCCAAATCGCCAATTATTGTCCTGTAATTGCCAGGAACACCATTGTGAAAAGTTCAGTGTCGATTTCAAGTATCTGGCAGACTATCAGACTACACTACGGCTTCCAGTGGTGCACATTTTCTTGATTTGTGTGACATACATCTCCAACCTGAGGAGCGACCAGAGGATCTTTACCAGCGCCTGTCTGCATTTATGGAAGATAATCTGCTCAGACAAAATGGCGGAATCACTCATCATGGAGAGGCGATTGGCGAGGATGAGGAATTAACACCTACGTTAGAGAACATTATTATCCTGACTTGGTTGCGCCTTATCCATCCTGATTTGCCCAAGCTGGTGAAGCAACGATATGGAACGGAACTGAGATCCCGTACTCTAGCGTCAATTAAACCTGAGATATCACAGGCACTCAATTCCCTGTTAGATGAAATACATTCATCTGAGGATGCCAAGGTCATGAGGACTGCTACCACTAGAGCAAACAACTTCAGTCAAAGATCTAATTTTAGACCTCGCATACAGCAGACATCAAATAAACGTCGTTACCAGTCAACCTCAAAAATGTGTCCCCTCTGTCACACAGCTGGTTGTCCTAATGACAATCACTTTCTCAGTGAATGTTCATACTTACCTGATCAAGACAGAAAATACATGACTAAGGCACGTCAAATAGCTAGCATCCTGGATGAGTCAGAGGATGAAGATGGACAGTCCCCTCATACAGACACAGTATCTACACCTCCCGTTACTGCCTCAAGTGTAAACAATGCTTCAGTCAATAGAGTCAGTGTACGTCAGTCTCCATATATGAACACATTTTATGGTCATAATGTCATATGTCTTACCCTCGACAGTGGAGCTACAGGTAATATGATCAGTCAGACTACTGCCAGGAGACTCGGCATTGAAGTCACCAAAAGTTCACAATCTGCCCATCAGGCTGATGGTTCATCCCCACTCCATATTGTTGGTGAAACACGAGTAACTCTCAGCCGTGACAATAAGGATTTTATTTTCGAGGGCCTTGTTGTGGAGAACCTTGATGTCGAGTTGCTTGCAGGAACACCGTGCATGGAAATAAATGATGTTGCCGTTCGCCCAGCTAAGCGCCAAATTACACTTGGAGATGGAACCACCTTCCAGTACGGCAACCAAGAAACCCAGTCGTCACACCATACAGTTAGACGTGCACATGTCTTACGAGCGCCTAAGTCCCCTACAACAATCTGGCCTGGCGATTTCATAGAGTTATCACTCCCGGATGACCTGATCCACTCAGATGACACATTCGCAGTGGAACCACGTCTAACAGGTGATTTATTCAAAGACCACAAAGAATGGCCAACACCAGATATAGTGTCTAGCGTTTCAGGGAAGATTAGAATTCCTAATGACACAAAAGAGCCTCTTGTCCTCAAGAAGCATGAGCACTTTTGCCAGGTTCAACAAGTATTCACCATCCCAAACTCTGGGACCGAGATGGTCGATAGTCAATCAGAAAGCATTCCTCTCAGACAGTCCACTACTACATGCAAGGTCAATTGTTCAGAACAGGTACGCATTGACCCAGATAACCAGTTCACACCAGACACTCGCAACAGTTTCCACGCCCTCATAAAGGAGTACGATGATGTGTTTAATCCACATGTCCATGGATATAATGGAAAATCTGGCCCGTTCAAGGCAGTTGTCAACATGGGTCCTGTCCAACCCCCTCAACGCAAGGGACGAGTCCCACAATACTCTCGTGACAAACTTGTAGAGTTGCAAGACAAATTCGATGAGCTTGAGGACATTGGTGTCTTCGTCAAGCCTGAAGATGTGGGGATATCAGTGGAATATTTAAATCCATCCTTCCTTGTCAAGAAGTCAAATGGTGGATTTCGTCTGGTTACAGCATTCACAGATGTGGGGCGGTATAGTAAACCACAACCATCACTCATGCCTGATGTTGATTCTACATTACGCCAGATAGCTGCATGGAAGTACATCATAACCACAGATTTGACAAATGCTTTTTACCAAATACCCCTGTCCCGTGGATCAATGAAATATTGTGGTGTGGCCACTCCCTTCCGTGGAGTCCGTGTTTTTGCCCGATCAGCCATGGGCATGCCGGGCTCTGAAACTGCGTTAGAAGAATTGATGTGTCGTGTGCTTGGGAACTTGCTCAAGGAAGGATCAGTGGCCAAGTTGGCAGATGACTTATATTGTGGAGGTAATACCGTAGACGAGCTTCTGAACAACTGGCGACGTGTTCTACAGGCCTTGCAATTCAATGGATTGAAGCTTTCAGCTGCCAAGACTACTGTCGGCCCTTCTAGTGTGACCATCTTAGGATGGATTTGGAAAAATGGCTCAATTCAAGCAAGTCCTCACAGATTCTCTTTCAGATTAAATCCTCCTTGGGGCACTTATTGCATTTTCCTGGCTCAAGAAAATCTACATGACATAGTTGTAACCATTTTCCTTAATAAAAATTGTTACCACACAAAAAACTTTGTTTTTGTATGATATACGTCCACCCTTATGGTGCCTCACCCTCCACGGCGCGTCACGCCAAGGGAAGCAACTCTCACCCAAATCACTTTCCTTATGTCATCTGACAAAGACAGACGTGCTGTTTTTTTCAAGACAATATAAAGACAAGATTATCGTTTGTACAAGAACCATGGCAGACCAAACTGTATGTATGGTACATTTCTTTCAGGCAAAGGCGTAATACCTCGCATTGTAAAGTTATAAAGTTGTAATTATGTGACACGTGTACGATACCTTTGAAATAAGGCCGTCGTAGCGTCCATTTTGTAGTGCCACGTATGATATATGTAACACCAGGGCCATCAAAAACGGCTTCGGTTTTTTAATCTATATCATCGGGCTTTAGCCTACAATCTTTTCCTTTAAATAAACCCAAGGTGGTGTGTTAATTATTTTAAATTACACTTACCTTTTTTACGGGTTTTCTACACCTTCGCGCGTAACACGCCCACTTTGGTGTTATAATTATACTACGACATTGGCTATTAGTATCGCGTTACCAATCGCATTCTAAATTACGCCTTTGCTTCTAGTTACACAATTTATGCACGTATCTTTCCGATCTTTCAATCGCACTGATACACTTTATTACCCTTCCCGCCAAACTCAAAAATTACGGTCTTTTTTACAGACCTTCAAACTGTGTACGGGGTGCTCGGCTTCGATTCCCCCCCAAGACAGGCATGATACCTGCATAAAGTGTTTGGCCGAAGACGGGCATGACGATGGGTCATGCCCGATCTGTGTTGCATTTACACCACGGGCGCAAAAAAAGAGAAATGTGGACCTCTTACACTTTAAGGGTCTATTGAAGGCGGGGGTGGACATTAGGTCGGCAAAGACCGCCCCGCCCCCCTCAAAAAAAGTAAGAAAGGGTAAAAAGGCAGCTGAGACTGTCTCCTCCGCTCCCTCCCCGGGGGCCGGGGGAGAAGGCTCTAGGGTCCCCGTCACAATCACTGCACCCTCTCCTGCACCGTCTTTGGCAGACATCTCTGCCTTGTTGAGGTCGCAGATGGCGTCGATGATGGAGGAGGTAAAGTCTCAGCTCCGAGAGGAGTTGCGGACCGAGCCTTCCCCGTTGTCGGCGCCGGACGCGGCTTCGAGACCTTGTGATATGCCCGGCGTCGGCCGAGGCAGGCCACTTGGTCTCGGGGACGAACTCAGACCGGGCTTCGGCGCCGGCTCGAGGTCGCTCCCCAGCGGAGGGGTGGCGGGCACTGGCCCGTTCACTACCGACGCACAGTTCTCCCTAGCGGAGCCAGACGCCTCTTCCGAGGCCGAGGCTTCCTCTAGCGGATTTCTAGCCCAGAGCCAGGTGGGTTCCCTTGAACCCCCGGCACCTCGGGACCGGGACTCGGCTTCGGGCCGGGTGCAGCCCGGGGATGCGAAGGCCCAGGCCTTCGGGCGTCCCCTTCCGACTTCGTCTGCCTCTTCTCTCGGGGAAGAGTCGATTAATTTCGGCTCGGAATCGAGAGAGGAGGAGTGGATGGAGGAGGGGGGAGACGACTCGGAGACCTCGGGAATATTTTCCTTCGTTTCCTCGTTGAGGCATGTACGGGACAAAATTGTCCAGGTACTGCCTCAGGTGGCTGCGCCCATGCCCCAGTCGGATCCGACTGAGTTCCGCCTTCCGGGGGACG